CGGCGGCAGGGTGGGCGGGCTCTCGGGCGGCTCCGTCAGCGAGTAACGGGGCGAGTACACCTGGGAGGTGGGCTGACGCGGCGGGATCGCCGGAGGACTGTCCAGGTGCTTCGACATCATCTGAAACACACCACACGTCACACGCCGCGCTTGAAAGATTTTCACAATTAAAAACAGAGAAGTCCCATCTGATATTTCAGTTAATGGCAAACTGTGCCAGATTTTAAATATCTTGATCATTTCAGACTCACAGCTGATATTTGAAAAGCATGTTAAAGAAATTAGTCAGTGCAGTGACATTTAACACCATATAATGTACATTTATAGGCTTTCAACAGAAGTGTTTTTACATTTAATGATTTTTTCCCCTTTTTTCATACTGTATTATATATATATATATATATCTCACAGGATAAAAAATTAAAAAGGTAAATATTTTAAAATATTAAATAGTTTTTATCTCACAATTCAGACTTTTTTCTTTTTAAGAATTCTGAGTTTTTCTCTTTTTTTCCACCGTGGAATTAGAAAATAAAGATAAATGTGACTTTATTTCATAGAAATTTAATTTCAAGAGAACTGCAAGTGTCACACACATATATATATATATATGTATATATATATATATTTATATGTATGTATTGCAACTTATTTATAGTGCAACTTGCTTGTAAGTGTATTATTATTATTATTTGCAATACATTTTAAACATTAGATGTGACGCTTTATTATTTCAACTCTGCTATAAGTTCTCTTTCTCCTGTCCAGAGGCTGGCCTGTTAAAGCTACTATTAAATAAAAACTCAAGTATAAAACACTGAATGTAAGGATGGGTTCGGGCACCTTTGAGGGCGAGGACTCGGCGGGGGCGGATTCGGGCCGGCGGCGTGGCGGGATGGGCGGAGGAACGGGAGGCTCGTCGTTCCGCAGGAAGCTCATCATCGACGACACTGAAGAAGATCCTGAGACACACACACACGCTGATGACATCACTGCAGCCATGACGCGGGACACAGAGGATGCTGGGAAACACGTCACATGATCAACACCGGCCTGAACATGCACGAGCGGTCTGTGACTTCGGCTGTAACACACAGTAAGACACACGGCACAGACGCGTGATGAAGAGCGAGAGACGCTGAGATACTAACGTGAGCTGTGTGGCAGAGCGACCGGAGCGAATATAGAGTCGCTGTCTGTCAGGAAGCAGAGAGAAACACAAGAGAAGGTGACAGACTGATCCAGGATCAGTGTTAGGGAGGTTAGGCTTTACTGGAGGAACTCATGTGAATGATGCTAACAGAACTGAATCTGGGACAGATTAATACTGACTCAACCAATGGAGAGAGTTCAGGGCGGGACTATCTGTGCGGGCTAACAATGGAAGACGGGGAGGGTCTGAAACAGTCATTTTCACTATTATAATTAATTCAGAAATGATATACTGCTATCCAAACTATGTGTGTGTGAGAGTGTGAGTGTGAGTGTGTGTGTGTGTGAGAGAGTGTGTGTGAGAGAACGCTGCAGATCTCGGTGGAGCTGGATGCGGTGGAGGCTGGTGGAGGTGTCAGTGGAGTGCGGGGAGAGTTGGGCGCTGAAGCGATGCTGCTCTCCGTCTCGCTGTCTGGGATGCGGCTGTAGCTGATCTTCCGGGGCTCGTTCTGCAGCGGCTGTAGCTGATCTTCCGGGGCTCGGTCTGCAGCGGCGTCGGGTGCCGCATGGTTCCCGGGCGGACGGTGGACGGGCGAACCCCCGGAGACTTCAGAGGACAGCTGTATTTCTTCGGCTGTGAGAGGAAACCAAAATGAGAAAAAATGAGACAATCTATCTATCGATGGCATATATATGCATATATCAGTTAGTGACCAACATTTCACTAAAACTCTGTCATCTTAATTTAACACGAGTTAAAATATGACAAAAAAGCTTTAAAATAAGTGCAAACACCTTGAAATCAAGATATCAATATAATATTTATTTTTTTAACAACATTTAAAAACCAGGATTCTCATGATCTTGGAAAACCTTGATATATACAAATTTTACAATTGTGATTTCTTGACATGGAAGAGTCACGGAAATTAATAAAACCTTACATTTTATTTTTTAAAAATTATAAATAAGTTATATAAAAATTAAGAATTTAAAAATTATAAAAATGCAAACTTTTATCAGGAATATATTTTTTCTAGTTATATCAGGCGCTAAAACATTTTATTAGGTAGAAATTACTATATGTGAGTTTAAAAAAAATATGTAAAAATTCTAGTAATCATGAACAACTAGAAAAATCATGTTAATTCATTGGTAATAAAAAGTTTAAATCCTGAAGAACATTCATTTAAAATTTCTGGAATTATGGAATTTAATTTACCATTTTTCCCATTTATTTTAAGAAACTATATTGTAATATTTTAAATATTTAAATTATGTAAAAATAATAAATGTAAATAACACAAATGTAAAAAATATCAATGTAAAAATAATTATTATTTAATAGTTTTAAGTTTAATAAGTAGTTAAAATAATTATTTTTAAATATAATTTTAAAATAATTATTTTCATTATATTATTGTCACTTCTAGATTCTGTAAACGAGTTTCAAAATGAGCAGCTTTCTCATTACAGCAGAAGAAGCAGAAATATCCTGGAATATTTTATTTTACAGTAAGGGACATCGGAGTCAGAAAGATTGAGAGCCGATGATCTAGAGTCACCGCCTGATTGAACACTCCTCTGAACAGACCGTTTGACGTCTTCTTGGAATTCCACCTGCGTGAGGTTTTGGGCTTTTTCACTGTTACACAACTGAACTCAGGCTTAGTTTGTAAATCGGCACTATTCTGGTTCACATCCCTAAGCACTTGAGGGTTTAACACCGAGATCAGGAGGCTCTCGTGTGCGTTGTGTAACCATTCAACGCGAGTTCTTACGAATCGAGGCAGCGTGCGAGCGTTACGCGGCTCGATCTCCAGAGATTTGTTGAACAGATAGTCGGCGAACTCCTTCTCCGTCATGTCCTCCATCGGGTTCAGGTTCTCAAAGAACTTCTGCAGCATCAACAGAATGTGACATTGTGTCATTTTATTTTTCAGGATTCACAGATGAACAGAAAGTTCAGAAGAGCAGCACCTAACCCTAACCCTAACATTCTAAATGTCTTTACTGTCATCAATGAAATAAGTCCTTGATGATGCATCAAGTATTAATTTCTTTAAAAAGCGGTAGTGTAATTAACGTGAACAGTGTTTCTGACCCGTATGTCGTTTTCCACACGTAAGCAGTACGGCTGGTTCTGGTACTGCTGGATTTCTCCGGTTATTTCCGCCACTTTCCGCCGTTTGCTGAAGTTGATCAGCTCTTTGCCGTGTCTCTTCAGGAAGTCTGGATTTCCCTCCTCAGTTTTCAGAATGTTCGTTAAATAAATCCCTAAAACGAGAAGATCGCAATCAAACACACAGTCAGTGCCATCAGAAACCAAAGGAAGCCCGTTTCCAAAATTAAAAAGGTAATTGCGACTTTTTAATCTCACTATTCAGACTTTGTTTCTCGCAAATCTGAGTTTATATCTCACAATTCTTTTTTTTTACTTATCAGAACTGAGAAACTTTTTATCTTTCTGAATTGAAAGATAAAAAAAATCACAATTACTTTATTTATTTTTTTATTCCAAGCTGGAAACAAAGAAAACTGCATTCTGAGGAGAAAAAGTCAGAATTGAGAGATTTAAACACAAAATTTTGAGATAAAAATTAGGAATTTTGAGAATAAAAGTCAGAATTGAGAGATTTAAACAAAATTTTGAGATAAAAATTCAGAATTTTGAGAATTAAATTCAGAATTGCGAAATATCAAACTTAGAATTGCAAGATATAAATTCTCAATTTTGAGGAAAAGTCATAATTGCTAGATATAATTAGAATTGAGAGATTTAAACTTAGTCAAGTCACCTTTATTTATATAGCGCTTTATAGTGCTTATAATTGCAAGACATAAATTCGCAATTATGAAAAAAAAGTCTAAATAGCGAAATGTAAACTCAGAATTCTGAGAGCAAAAAAAAGTCAGAATTGCAAGATAAAAACTCAGAAATTTTCCCTTGTAATTTTCTACGGAAAGCACATGTGCAAAACGTACCAAAGAAGGGCACACAGGGGGGGTTGATGGACCTGAGTTTAGCCAGATATTTCTTATAATGATCTTCACTGAGTTCATGAGCTTCCTCCAGAATCTTCCTCTGTCTGCTCGGGATTTGCTGAAATACAATCACACGCAGGACGAGTTACACGCTGAACTGTAATAGCTCTAGTACTAGTGAAGAGCAACTAATCCAACAGTGCTAATGTAAACGCGCTCACCTCGAAGGTGTGGTCGAGTCTGTAGATGGGCGATGAGTTCATGGCGCTCACCACCTCCAGAACGCCATTGAAGTTATTGAGCTCCTGAAAGACCTGCAGGATCTCGATGATGCGCGATATGATGGACACGCGCTCCTCCACGTTCTCCATTTCTACGATGCACCTGAGAAACACGAGAAACCGTCAGAAACCCACACACATGTGAGTGATACGGCTCTGAATTAAACACACGAGAGCGTACTTCTCGAACCACAGCGTGAGGTTGGTGGTGTGGCGGATCATTCGCAGCAGGTTCAGGGAGTTGATCTCTTTGTCTTCTTTAGTCCAAACGCTGCCCACCAGCTCTGACGGCTGAACCGCCCTACAGAAGGTCAAAGTTCACAGTTACATTCATGTTTCTGTGTTAAACTGCTAAATATGAACAGAAAAACACAGCAGTTCCACCTCAAGATGATGATTTAGACACTTTATAATGCAAATAATAAATATTCATTACTTAAAGCAAGACACTAGGAGAGCAGGGTGTAGATATCATTAATCACAGTAAATTAAGACAATTGTTTTCTATTACAAGTTTCCCTGAACGCTATGTTTAAATGTGCAATAATATGCTATAAATGGCATAGATTTTCAGAAAATAAATCTGAACATTGGATAAAGCCAGGTTCAAAATTCTTGTTTGATTCTGTTGACAGAGTTAAAGGGTTTTACTGAGACCAGCTAGATTTAAAAAAAAAAAAAAATTCACCATATTTTAGGAATAAGATGTTATAAAAACTCAGGAAAAGTATATATCAACAATCCCCTCAGTAAAAACATTCAGAATATAGAGAGGAATAAAACTCTAAGTTTTGGTGTTTGTAAGTGCTGCTGAAGTGGAGAAAAAACTCTTTAGAGATATGGATTGGAATTTAAATCTACAGATGAAAAATAGATTAAGTGCAATAAAATAAACACTTAAATGTGTATTTTGGATGTTTTCTGTCCACTAGTCTGAAAGAAGACAAGTTATGGAAGCAAAATAGACCAAAATCTCAAAACTGACTAGTGCATGAAAACAAACAAACAAAAAAAACACTGGTTTTGTCTGTAGTGTCTCGTCTTACTGCACTTTATCTATTTGTGTCTGTAGATTTCAATTCCAATCCATATCTTTAAAGAGTTTTATCTCCACTTCAGCAGCACTTACATACACCAAACTTTACAGTCTTATTCCTCTCTATATTCTGAAGATTTTTACTGAGGGGATTTTGGATTTCTCTTTTTATCACTCCATAAATCAGAAAATACTGTCAACAGACAGAAAACAAATACATTTACACCGTGTTTTAGGAATAAAACGTTATAAAAACTCAGGAAAAATATATATTCACAAACCCCTCAGTAAAAACCTTCAGAATGTAGAGAGGAATAAAACTGCAAAGTTTGGTGTCTGTAAGTGCTACTGAAGTGGAGGAAAAACTTTTTGAGGAAAAGGCCTTTAAAAGGTATGTATTGTAATTAAAGTCTACAGACACGAATAGATGGATGCTTTCAACCTAAATCTAAAAATGACCAAAGCATGAAAAAACTATGGTTTTGCCTTAACTCATGTAAGAGCTTGAACACAAATACAAGCTTCACTCTATTGTAATTGTACTGTAATGCGTTTCCTGTTCGTTCAGAAACACAGAGAGACGATCGTCTGTGGAAACTGACAGCAGCACACTGAAATGAAGTGAAAATCACCCAGAATGCTCCTTTAATCAGGAGCCGAGGTGTTTTGAGTGTGTGGTTTGGTTCAATGTTTTGGGAGACGGGGGCACAGAACGGCCTCATGGGAAACGGAGCTGAGGTGGTGACCTTGGGTACGACGCTCACTGCCTGTTCCCACAGAGGTGAAGGGAAGTGTGTGTGTGTGTGTGTGTCACAGCTGGACTCTCTATTGTGTTAAACAGCCCCGTTTTCTGTGCAGACAGTTGCCAACGGCGCAGAAAATAAAAAATACAAACAGGAAATCTAGCCTTTTCCCTTATAAAGAAAACAACAACAACAAAATATGAAACGAAACAAACAGAAATGAACGTTCAGGCCTGTGCGTTTCTTCATTTTGACTAATCGAGTACTAATAAATCATGAGCTCCATACAGCTGTGTAACATTATGAATGTCTTTATGGTCCCTTTTGATTAATTTAATGCATCAATGATGAATAAAAGTTTAAATTTATTTTAAAAACATATTTATCATCAGAGAATTAAAAGAAGAAAGCAAGCAAGGCCACAGAATTATTGCTACACTAAAAAAAATAAAAATAAAAAAATAAATTTAGGCCCAAATATAAGATTTATGTAACTGAGTTGCATATAAAATGTCCATGCATTTGGATTACACAGTTTTAACATAAACTAATAAACTTAATGTGATGGGCATTTGTCAGTAAAAAAACATTTTTTTTAATAACTTTTTGCATGTACTTAATTTATTCAAATAATATTTTCAAAATGCATTTATTTAAATAGCTTAGAATCAACATAAATGAATGTTTTTTAATAACTTTTTGCATGTACTTAATTTTATTCAAATAATATTTTCAAAATGCATTTATTTAAATAGCTTAGAATCAACATAAATGTGTTAACTGTGAAAACAATTCCATGCATTAAGTTAAAAAATATGAACTTGGTAAAATATGGCTAGCTGTGGAACAAGCAATATTCAATCAGTTAAAATGTAAGGGAATGAAACAAACTGGATTTATTTAATGATAAATCTGTAAACCTAGTTATTGTTTATTTTAAACACATTCAGTTTATAGTACTATTACAGAAATCTGACCCGTTTCATTTAAGTATGACTGTATTACACAATAACCAGGTTTATACATTTATGTAAATAGATTTATATATAAATGCATTTTAAAAAATATGATTATTTAAATAAAATCAAATAGATGCAAATAGTTAATAATAAACTATACAATGATTGGTAACACTTTATTTTAAGGTGTCCGTGTTACACATGTTACATGTACTTACTATTATAATAACAATTAATTATGCATAATTACATGCAAGTAACCCTAAGCCAAACCCAAATCCTAACCCTAACTATATAATAAGTACATGTCGTTAATTAATATTACTCAGTACTTATATGTATAATTACACTGTAACAAGGACACCTTAAAATAAAGTGTAACCCAATGATTTTTTCAAGGGCAGAAATCTGTTTTATTAATGTACGACTGACAAATATGCATCACATTAAGTTTGCATATTTTGCAAGTTGTTGTTTATGTTCAGACCGTATATTCCAAATGGATGGAAATTTTATATGGAAGTCAATTCTTAAACTTAAAGCTAAATATTTTTTGAGTGTATATTGTGTGTGGAATCATTTCATGAGTATTTTATGGTGCATTTCTGGTCGCTGTCTGCTTATAGGGTAATGAGCAGCGTGAACATTCAGCTAAATATCTCCACTGAAGAAAAACAGGGTTTGATTGACATGAGGACGAGTAAATGCCATCAGAGATCAGAGGTCACTGGCTGAGGGTCACACCTGTAGAAGTCGGACTCCAGCAGCGTGAGTTGTCGGGCGATCTCGATGGGGTGAAGGGTCATGAGGTCAAACTGATCCGTCTGTCCCGCTTTACACAGGTGCCACTCGATGGGCGGCGGCGAGCTCTCGAACGTGATGTTGTGACTGGGGCCGTTGGCTTGAGCCTGTGAGTGCATGTGAGTGTGCGAGTGATTGAGTGCGTGAGTGCGACTGAGTCAGTGTGTGAGTGAGAGTGTGTACATGGGCGTGAGTGAGTGTGCAAGTGAGAGAGTGAGTGAGTGAGCGACTGAGTGAGTGTGCGAGTGTGTGTGAGTGCGTGGGTGTGAGTGAGTGTGCAAGTGAGAGAGTGAGTGAGTGTGCGTGACAGTGTGTGAGTGAGCGACTGAGTGAGTGTGTGTGTGTGCGAGTGTGTGTGAGTGCGTGTGTGTGAGTGAGTGAGTGTGCAAGTGAGAGAGAGTGCAAGTTGAGTGTGCGTTTGTGTACAAATGTGAGTGAGTGCAAGTGAGTGTGTGCGTGTGAGTAAGTGTGCGAGTGAATGTGCATTAGTGTGCGAGTTTGAGTCAGTGTGCATGTGAGTGAGTTAGCGAGTGTGCGACTATGAGTGTGCGAGTGTAAGTCCGTTTGAGTGTGCAATTGAGAGTGAGTGTGAGAGAGTGTGCAAGTGAGCTAGAGAGTGTGTGTGAGTTAGTGTGTGCGAGTGAGCGAGTTTGAGTCGGTGTGTGAGTGAGTATGAGTGTGTGTGTGTACCTGAGCTGTACAGGCTGAACAAACTCTTTGCGGAAGCGTTTGAGTTCTGCGCTCAGCGGCTGGTCTCCGTTCTCCATGGCCATCTGATCCGCTTCTGTGGGTTTAGGTTCGGGAATATCAAACCTGGATCGCAAACACACAGACCGCTGTATGGAGAGACGTTTCCGTGGATACGACAATAACTTCATAGCATTACAAAAAATATCATCATGACTATAAGAAAACTTTTAAATACTGTAAACAGCTGATTATGGGTGAGCGTTTTTTTTTTATAGTGAAAACAGTAAACACACTATAAACTATTAAGAATACTAGTAATCCAAGGCACTCTAAACTTATTCAAAAAAATTTAAAAAGCCTTTATTTCATCATGGCTATAAGTTTTAAGAACAGGTGACAAGTACACACCTACGCGTTGCGGCTATTTTGCCTTCGTCAGGGTGTGAGTAACAAACACAATCGGAGTTCATTTTAAGCAGCAGTTAATTAGTCAAATAACAATCACCTGGTCGTTCTACACAGGACAAACAATAGAGAGGAAGTTCGACGATTACATATCAAATTAAATCAAACACAATATAATCATGTATAAAGGAGGGGGAGAGAGAGAATTTTAAATATATAAATCAAACTCCACAAATCAG